ACTGATGTTCATATTGTTAAAAACTATTGCGTACGCTTTGTATAAGTTTTTTCATGTACGAATCAAAATTAACAATGAACCTAGTTAAATGAATTTACTTAAATTGTCAAAATAATTTAGTAATTATAATATATAAAAAAAAAAACATCTATTAGACAATATTTTAGTTTATTATTTTGTATTATTTAATATTTTATAATATTGTTATTTATCATTTTAATATATATGTGGAAAAAAAATAAATGAAAAATAATATTCTAGATTTATATAAATCATGGGTATGGCCCATGGATTGAATTGAAGTTTCATAAAATTCTAAAAAATTGCAATCAAGTCCCTTGAATTTATTAAATTTTCTAATGCATGCCCCATTTATTAAAACTGATTTTGTTATCTCCTCTCAATCCCCTTCACCAGCATCTCCTGAAACAATCTCGTCTGTCACCGTGAAGACAATCCCGGTCGTCCAGCTTGCCGCCGGTGAACAGCCCGCCGTTACCTTCCCGTCCATTACCTCGTCGCCAGGCGGACAGAGGAGGTAGACGACGCAGCTGATTTCCGCGACGGGCTAGCGGTGCTGGTTTTGGAGCTGGCGCGGCGTCGGCTTGTGGCTGCCGGAGACATAAAGCCGTCGGCTGATTCCGCCGGAGATGCATAAGACGACGCTTCCGGCGCTTGCGTGCGGTGGTCGACGGCGATGCTATACCTTCGGGGCATGTCGTCGTATTCGGCGTTGCTGATGTGGCTACAGACGCCGTCGACGGGCGGACGCCGGCGAGCGAAGTGTATGTGAGCTTTTTAATTTTTTTTTTATTTTTTTTCCTCTGTTGCAGAATTGGATCCCGTGTGAGAGAGAGAGAGAAACACATGTGGGTGTGTGTTTTGTGTGGGAGAGAGGATGTGCTGGTGGGTCCCACACGATTGGTTGATGGTTGAGAAGTGGGTTAGATGAGCTGGTGCGTGAAAGGGGATGTGCTGGTGGGCCCATATGTTTATATGAAATAACAAAAATATCCCTGGTGAGAGTAAAAATATATGATTTTTTTGATTGTTGGATCAATCGATCTAATGGCTACGATGTATTCTTATTTCTTTCATTGAGAAC